CATGCAAAATGTGCAGTGTTGGGGTGCCTCCAGGACCAGTGTTGGGAACCACTGATCTAGATTCATTGCATATATATGTCAGACTGGCACTAGTCTATGACGTCCTTTCATGTAGTCATTGTCAGATGGCTGTAGTGTTGATATGAGTGCACTCAAATGGCTGTGTAAATACTAAAGTTCACTTTGTGCACACTCACACACAGACACACCCAGACATCTGACTCTTAGTTGATCATTTGTTCCACCTGCTGCTTTAAATGAGGCTGTATTGTGGATTTTCATGGAAAGGCCATTCATTCCTAAAGTGTGTTTGAACTTTAAAGCATGTCTTATAATTCCTGATTTTCTGAAACAAAAGGTATTTTCAGGAGAGAAAGAGAAGCACAGCAGATCTCTGATAGTTCTTATAGATATACTGCATATGATATTGTGGTCTCAACATATGGTTCGATTCGTCCTACAATGTAAGTCTGTGCGCTTTCATCGATTACAAGTCTGACTCTTAGAAAAGTAATGGCGCACTTCTCCTGAAGCCACATGACCTGAGGTGCATTCAAGCACAGAAGGGGTGGAACAGCTTGTGTGCCAAAGATTAATTGTTTAAATAACTAACTTTATGTTCGAGAAATGTTAATGCATGCCTAACAGAACTGTACATTAGCACACAGTTAACTCTTGGACAACCATTGACTAATAAGGCAGTGTTTCTTCATCTTGGTCTTGGTCTTACATAGTTCTTGATGTCACATTGAAGTTTCTTCAGATTAGTGTTTTGGTTTCGTTTTATATATCATATACTATACATATAGCCTATACTTTAGGGTTTTCGAGTTGCCGACTTGAAAAGTTCTTGATGTTACTACACCCTATGTTCTTTAAATCAGTGTGTTGGTTTCTGGCATCTTTAAAGCTGCAGTCTGTATTTATTTTATTTTTTTTCAGAATTTACTAAATTTTTATAATAATCGAGTACACCATGAATCCATTTTCCAAACCGTGTTTTTGGCTTATCCAGAATCACTACAGTACCCCTATGATAAGTGTTTATATTCTGACTATTTTAGACTGGTTCGGGTAGGTACCGCTGCGGAGTAGCCCAGTACCTGCGTGATTCGCCATAGACATAAACAGAGAGAAGTAGCTCCGTCTACAATGTTCTTCCGCAAGACGCACACAGTTCTGTTTATTAACCGCTAGTGAATCTCAACATTTTTGGCGTACCGGACCCCAGTCCAATTCAGAACCATCCTCAAGGACCCCCAGAACAAAATTGACTCGTATCATTTGTGTCTTTGTGAGGACCAAATGCAGTCAAGTATAGTTCAAGTTAGCTGACTTGTCCAGTATTTGGCCATATCATCAGCTATATTGGATTTTTCTTTCATGGGAACATGTCATGTCAAAATATACAATTTATACAAAAATTCATACTTTATATGGACCCCCTGACCTTACGTCAAGGACCACTAGGGGTCCACGGACCCCTGGTTGAGAAACACTGCGCTAGAGCGCCAAAAGTTACGGACTGCAGCTTTAAGGCTGTTTTAAGAGTGGGCTCAAGTAATAAGAGGGTTTCTCTGTAACAAGTTCAGATCACTTCTACATGTCACACTGTGCATTTGAAGAAGAACCTGTTTGTACCTGTTTGATACACTACAAGTGACTTTTATTATTATTATTATTTTTGTGTGTGCCTTATGTCAAGGACCACTAGGGGTCCACGGACCCCTGGTTGAGAAACACTGCGCTAGAGCGCCAAAAGTTACGGACTGCAGCTTTAAGGCTGTTTTAAGAGTGGGCTCAAGTAATAAGAGGGTTTTTTCTGTAACAAGTTCAGATCACTTCTACATGTCACACTGTGCATTTGAAGAAGAACCTGTTTGTACCTGTTTGATACACTACAAGTGACTTTTATTATTATTATTATTTTTGTGTGTGTGTGTGCAGGCCATCTTTGAAATCATCACATCAGAATATTCCTACCAGCACAGTTTAAGTATCCTGGTGACTCATTTTAAAGACAGTGCAGATTTGAAAAAGACCATGACAACAACCGAACACCATCATCTGTTCTCCAACATATCTGTCATCCAGGACATCAGCAAACGGTACAAACTTTCGCTTATGTTATAAATTCTAATGTGGATCATAATATGGCAACCCTTGATAAATGAAATCTAGAAAATATATTTTAGTGAGTTTTCAGAAGTGGTGAGGCCACACACACTGTATAGTTAATGAGGGAAAAGCATTAGTTATGCATATTTCTGTTGAAATTCTGGGAAATGGATGTAAACATTGTAAAATATGGCAAGCAGAGTCGCTCTTATTGATAGCTGAAACAATCTAATTTGCCTATTATCCGTTTCATAAACAACTGGAGATTATACAAAGAAAGGGCAGAACTTTGTGAATGATGTGTGATCCAGTTTTGCGAAAATCAGCTTTCTGTGCATATGCAGTATATATCAAATCACCATGAATCACTATTATTTTTTTAAGCATGTTGGTCACACAAGACTTTGAGCGCACTAAATTTCTCTGGACACCGCAATGATCCTTGATATGACCTCACACTCTGCATCATCTTTTTAAAAACAAACTCACCATATGACAAACAATAATAAATGCAAAACAAAAAATATACAGTCTACACTTTCTGCAATGATACAAACGTACAGCTGTAAAGTTTCTGTGCTTTTAATTCAGCTAAGAGCTCACACCACAATTAATCTTCTATTAATCTTCACGTGATATGAATTCACAGGTCAGAGTTCACCGAACTTGAACTCTGGAAGGCAACAAAATGTGAATCAGCTTTGCATAAGCTTACGTTTCTGGTCTCCAGCATTTGCATATGTGTGAATGCCATGGAGCACAACATGTAGTCTGACCCATATTAGAAAGTAGTTAAAGTATGCAAATCTATTATAGTGTGATTTATTTGTTAATAAATAAAAATAGTGTATAAATTACACTATTGTTCTTGCAAGTTAAATCATGTATCATGTTGCATCTCCTAACAAAGTTATCAGCCAACTGGTCAGGGTTGCCAGGTCTGTGTAACAAAACCAGCCCAATCGCTTTCCAGGGGAAACTGGTTTTAAAAAGTGCTCTAAAGTCATGTTCCGGGGTGTCTTCCTCAGTCAATATCTTTTTCCAGGGTTCCCTTCAACCCACGGACTAAAAAAACAACCAAGTAGCCCAATTCTGCGGGAAATTTGTAGACTTGGCAACACTGCAGCTGGCCAGTAATAATAATAATTCCATTTTATTTACTCCGTACATGAAGTCATTTGGTGCTCAATGAGTGCTGTATCATGCATGACAGATGCAGCTAGAAAACTACTGTGTATAGTGTATCATTAATACTGGAATTACGGGTTCAGCTTCTTTCTGAGCCAGATTTAATACAGGTAATTCAAAAGCTGGATCTAGGCTCACGCAGGAGTTTCCAGCAGACGTGACTGCAGTATCTGCACGGCTGAACGTGTTCAGACTCGCTGGTTAAACTGGTTAAGCAGCTTGTCGCAGCCTGGATTCATGTTTCACACATAAAAAGGTCTTTCACACATTTCCAATGCAACTTTATACCTGTTTCTCAGAAACTGTGAATGCGTGATTCTTCTGAAGACATTCAGTGCTGTGGCTCTAAAACAGGCTAAAGTGAAGTGATTCTAAGAGATGCTAAAGTTTTCAGAGCATGTTGTGTCATGCGGTTTGGTCTTGTTTATGAAACAAGCGCATTAAATTAGCTGGATTGTGGGAGTGAGGCCTTCCAGTCTGGGAGTTGCCGTTAGGGCTGAGAAATAACAGACTCGAAACCTTCTGTTTGATAGGAGCTTATGGAGAAAGTCTCTTGCATATAGATGGGTAAAATGAATCTTTGTATTTGTGTTACCTTAAGAGTATTTGCCATACTGAAAATAGAGGCAAATAATAAGTGAAGCTGAGGTGTTAAAGTTGACCAGCGGTAGGAGAAATCCATTTTTCTCAAACCAAGGAGACCAGATTTCAGAAATAGAAACCAGAGACGTTCTATTATAGTGGTCAAAATATAATTGAAATCACCAAAAATCACACCATAACCGTGAGTGACAACTAGTGACAGTCCAGAAAATTATAGATATGAAAGATGCCTTTCATTTGTATCTTTTTATTTTAAAATGCTGGAGCGTTTCCCCAAACAGTAAAACGAAAAGTGAGGCTTTTGCGCCCCCTGGTGGTCTGGTTCTAGTCAGATGGCGCTGTTCACACATCCTAGTATTTCCTTTTGTCAGTTACCTGAAGAAATAATCAGATGCATTTCCACTATATTGATCATTTAACTTTTTTATTTTTAAATGTGGAATTAAATTAGAGATTGTTTGCAACACTTGGCATATAATGACCACACATAGGCTACTATATCTAATGTTTCTTAGGTTTTTTGAGGATCTGGATACACGTCACCAAAAACACCCTGTGATCAAGGACATCAGTGATACAGTGAATAAATATGCGACTCAACATTTCAAGCCGTACATTGTGTACTGCTCCAATGAGACCTTCCAGCAGAGAACGCTCCAGAAACTACAGTAAGCACCCATACGATAAAACGATAATGAACGGATGCTAACAAAGCACTTTTGATTGGAAAACAGTTGTTAATAGGAATTCAGTGTGACATATGGTTCTTTTTTTTGTGTTTTAGGTCAAATAACAATGCGTTTCGAGAAACTCTGAAGCAGATTGAAGGCAGTGAAGCGTGTGGAGGTTTGCCCATGATCTCCTTCCTCATCTTACCCATGCAGAGAATCACTCGTCTGCCACTTCTTTTAGATGTAAGAGACACAATCCTTCTGTAAACCGCAGCTTTATATTGAGCTTCTAAGTCATCCAACTAGAGTTCAGTTCCACCTCTGCTCTAACACTGCCTTCAAGCTCTCATAGGTGTTGGAATAAAAAAAAAAAAAATTGTTTTCGATGGAATAATCGGTAGAATACTCGATTACTAAAATAATCGATAAAGACACTTGTACAAACGTGGATGGGTGACATGAATGGAGATGGCTCCAGATCGGCAATGTAGTATTTGGTTTCTCAACAAGGTCCATCGCCCAACACAAAGTTAATTTGCTGAATGCATAAACTAGATTGCCAGGTTTGAGCACAGGAAAAAACAAAGGAATCGCTGTGTATGGCTTTGAGGTAATTTGTGAATTATAGACTTAAAGGGTTAGTTCACCAAAAAATGAAACTTCTAGGGCTGTAGCTATCGATTATTTTAGTAATCGAGTATTCTACCAAATTATTCCATCGATTAATCGAGTAATCGGATAAGAAGTCACTTTTCTTTATTAAAGAGCAATACTAGATACACAAGAGAAAATAAGATAGGTCTCTTAAAATAAACAACTAATTTGTTTTCTTTATAGAAAAATAAATATTTTTATTGCTGAAATTGCATACATTAATTACCGTTAAAACGATACCCATTTAATGCACTTAATTGCCAAATTATGTTCAAAATGCAAATACAAATATATCAATAAAAAATAAGTAAAATAAAAATATAAATAAAAAAATGAAATCAATACAAATACAAAAATCAATTTCACATTACTTTAAAAAAGGTAAACAGTACAAACTTCAAAATGCAAATACAAATATATCAATAAAAATAAATAAAATAAAAATACAAAAATCTATTTCAGTTTAAAAAAATGTAAACATTACAACCTAAAACTAAGGCATAAATCAAGAAATATAAAAATCTATTTCACATTACTTTAAAAAAGGTAAATAGTATAAACCTAAAACTAAGGCATAAATCAAAATAATAGTAATAAAAATAATAACAATACCTAAACATTGCATTTATGTCGTGCAACTTAACTTTCAAGTTTCAGCCTAACTAAAGCTCAAGCATGACATGAGCCTTTACTGTCTTCTTGGAAGGCTTTGTGGCTTTTGTGAGAGGCAAAAATCAGTGGACAGGAAGCTAACTTGGAACAAGAACAAGAGTCCATACACAATTTCTAAACACATTTTTCTGCAACATGAAATTCGAGTTATTAGGAGAATAAACCCTCTTAAATATCTCTCTACTTGTGTGTGTGTGTGTGTGTGTGTGTGT